TCTCGCCAAGTTGCCTAGGCGGGTCTCGAACCCGCAGGCTCAGGCAGTCCACTCACCTCGGCCTCCCAAAATGCTGGGATTACAGGCTGAACCACCGAACCCGGCCTGGCCTCCACTTTTTGAGTTTATAATCTATTTGTTGGGAGCAGGGGAGGTTAGAGACCAAACAAGCTAACACACAAATAATTGCATAGTTATTATTGTGACAAAAGCTATGGAAAGTACCAGGTGGTATGAGATTCCTGTATTTTGGAGAGGATCTTGTCTAAACTGGGGAGTCAGAGAAGGTTTCTTGGAGGAAGCAGAGGCCTGGAATTTAGACAGGCCAAGGCAGGGGTGTGGGAGTGGGGACTTGGCCTGTGGTGGGAACAGAGGCAGCCAGTGTGGTTGGATCATGGGGAGCAAGAATGAGAGTGGAGGAGATCAGGCTGGAGAGGAGGTCAACTCAGATCACGCAGCCTTGAAGACCTTGGTAAGGATTTTGAACCTCAACCTGGGAAACAGCAAGCTATTGAAGAGGTTTTAGTAGAAGACTGTCAGGATCTGACTTGGCTTTTTAAAAGCTTTCTGGTTGCATTACAGAGAAATGGCCCCCAACCCTTGCCCCCGCTTTGCATATTTAGCGTCGGTCGCCTAGCTCATGTTTTTGAGGCTGAAGTTCATTTAAAACATAAGGCAGTGAGCTTGTGTCTTGGATGTTCTAGAATGTCTTGGATGTTCCAAGACTTGAGCCTCAGTGTTCCTTGGTGCAGATCAGGTCACACATGATTATCCCTGTTGCTCTCATGCTGGAGGCTGCAGTTTGCTAGATATCCCTATCTTGTCATGATGGGTAGCTTGAATCCACAGGGGAATTCTGGTCCTGGTTGCCAGATCTCAACAGGGGATGAACTTCTCAACATTTCTGTTTTTTCTTGTGATTGATCCCTTTCCAGGATCACAGCCGCCTTCCAGAGAATCCAGTGGGACAGCTGTAGCCCCAGAGAACCGGCACCAACCCCCCAGCACAAACTGCTTTGGTGGGAGATCCCGGTAAGATGCCCCTTGTTGATGGGAAGGAGGCGGGAAGATGCTTAGAGCTCTTGAAAACACATTGGGAAGTGGTGAGGAGCTATTTATGTTAGAAACTGTTGGAAATTTCCAGGGACCTTATAACTGACTCAATATGTAAGGAGGCGAAGAGGGGACTACAGAACTCAGGATTCTTAGAAGGTCAGAGGTTACTTGAAAAGATTGGGACAGGCTAAGTAGGTTATTTGGATAAAAGGGTCTGTAGAACAGAAAGTCTGACTGCTCTAATATACATTGGGGGCTGTGGCCAGTTTTCTTCCAGGATGTGCATAGAAATGCTTAGAGCAGTGGTTCTCTGTATGTGAAATGTTTTGCCTGTATGTTTTTATTTTCAGAGGTGGCCCGTGGTTCCCCTGGAGTATTGGTTAAGACCTCCTACTCTTAGAGCCCCAGTTATATTATACTTGTTTGATGTGTCATGAATGACATAACCCTATTTAATGAAGTTCCCATCTTATACCTGTATTAATGGTGCATGCTCATTTTCACGGCAGCTGAGTGTCTAGGCAGGAGAATAGCTCTAAGTGTATTAGAGAGATGGGGAGAGGTTGGTACCTGTGTGTATTGTTTATTACAATGTACAAAATCCCCAGACGTTTTAAGGAAATCTTAAGAAAAAGAATTCTGTGAATGTAGTTTATGAATCTGTATTTTTTGTGGAGAGCAGGTGAATAACTGGCAGTAAAAAGTCTTCCCAAACGGAGCCCGGTGCAGTGGCTTATGCCTGTGGTTTCAGTGCTTTGGGAGCCAAGGCAAGAGGATTACTTGAGGCCAGGAGTTTGAGACCAGCCTGGGCAACAGCGAGACTTCATCTCTCCACAAAATAATTTAAATAAATGTAATGGTGGTGTGCGCCTGTGGTCACAGCTATTTAGGAGGCTGAGGCAGGAGGTTCACTTGAGCCCAGGAGTTTGAGGTTTTAGTGAGCTGTTATTGCACTACTGCACTCTAGCCTGGGCGACAGAGTGAGACCATGTTTTTAAAAAAAAAAAAAAAAATTTTTTTTTTTTTCCTGAACACATCCCAGGGAGTGGGGAATAATGCTGTGAAAAACAGAGAGTATGGTTTTAGCCAATACTCACAGCATCTTGAAAGACTCCCTTGAGGATAGCTACCAGCTTCTCCGGATGGGTTTGGTTTGCGGGTTTATGAGGTTGCAGTGACCAGCAGGTGGCGGGAGCAAGAGAGGGTGGACTTTGGACCTTTCTTCTGTAGCTTCATTAGAAGCAGAGGTGCCATTTCCCTGTTGTTTTTTTTTTTCTCCAAGTCTCTGCAAAGGTGTTGCCTCACACCCTAAAGACCAGTCACGTTTTCCGTGACTCACTACAATGACTTACAAGCTGGATCTCACATATAACTGGCAAATCTTGTGTCAACAAAGACCTGGCGGGTACCCAGAACTGGAGAAAACAGCAGGAGCAGCAGTAGGCGAGGAACCCTTGACCCTTGCAATTTTTGGAGAGAGAGACCTCCTCAGATTGGCCTAGTAACTGCCGTCTTGATCATTGAGCTGACTTGGAAAGTTTGTGTCAGATACACTAATGTCTCTTAATTTGGGGCTTGAAGGTAGAGTCTAGCTGTCAGCAAGTTTAGACCTACATTTTTGACTTATCTATTGGTCTCAATTTCTCTAGTTGATTGATTTTGAAATCCACAGATCCTCATAGTCTCATTTGTGTTCATTTGTGTTGAGACTTGTTGGCTGTTAAAACAGCAGCCAGGCTTCAACAGAAAACTGGATGCCTTTTTGCCTATCACTCATGGTTGACGTTCAATGCTAGTTAGTTACTGGTAGGCAGAGTGCCTTGCAGATAGTTCAAGTGTGTGGAAGTATCCTCCTCAGCCTGCTGGCTGCTGCAGTATCTTACCATATGGCCTCTGGGTTTTTGCAGGCCTGTGTTATCCAAGCATTGATTCTGCATTCACAGGGAACCTGTTGCCATTCAGCAAAAAATACTTTTGAAAATATTCCCCAAAGGCAGTATTTTCTGCCTTGTGACCTCTTTTTCCTTTGCTGTTGCTTGTATGAAGGTCACTGTGCATGCATGCTTTTGACTGCAGGTGGTGGCCATGTCATCTGCTGGATAACAGTGCAGGGCTTAGATCAGAAGATGTAGATTAAATCCTGCCCTGCGATTTACCTGCTGTATGATATTAGATGATTCATGAAAGGCTTGGAGTCTCAGGTTTTTCAGATGTAAAATGGGGAAGGCTAGGTGCAGTAGTTTATGCCTGTAATCCTACCATTTTGAGAGGCCAAGGCGGGAGGGTCGCTTGAGCCCAGGAGTGGCAAGACCTTATCTCTACAAGAAAATTTAAAAAATTAGCTAGATATGGTGGGGCATGCTTGTAATTCCAGTTACTTGGGAGGTTGAGGCAAAAGAATCGCCTGAGTCCAGGAGGTTGAGGCTGCAGTGAGCTGTGATCATGTCACTGCACTCCAGCCTGGGTAACAGAGTGAGACTCCAACTCAAACAAACAAAAAAAAAGTAAAGAGGAGATCACCTGCCACACAGGGTTATTGTAGGATTAACTGAGATGAGTGTTCCCAGCCGTATGCCCTGGGAAGGCTCAGTGAAGTGGCAGTGGTTGTTCTTTGTGACTGGAGACCTGGTATTGTGTACCACTGTTCCGCTTTCCCCAGACCTGAGAAGTGAGTTATCACTGGTGCATTTACATCAAGGACCATAGTTGGGAGGAGATGAATCAAACCTTCAGGATTCAAGGGCAGTCCTCTGCTATCCTTGTTTTCCGGGGGCAGAGGGAATGATGGGCTTCTGCTGCCTCCCAGACTAAATATTTAGCTTTTGCTGTCTGAAGGATAGGTTTTTCTTGGACTCAGGTGCTGTTCACCATGATCAAACAGAGGTGCTCTGGCATGCCCATGAAGGTGAAGATTGCATTGTCAAAGCAGCCCTTTCCTTGCCTTCTTTCCCTGCCTGTAAAGCTGTAGACTTGAAGCTGTGCAAGGGTTTTCTCTTAGGGATCCATCTACCCACCCTGTGGAGCCACCATTTGCTTGAGAAGCAAGGTCTCAAGGCTCCATTTCTTAGCAGAATCTTGCCTTCTCTTCAAAAACAGTTAGGTGAACCATCTGTAATTGTTTTATTTTCTGCTCTGCCACACAGAAACCAGCATGGGACTGCCACCAACAATTCATGCGGCATAATCTTGTTTGCAGGCCGACCATGTTAGTATGTTGTGTTAGTCAGTGAGTCTGGCTGAGTAAAGAAAGTTAATACTATGAATTGTTGGATGCTCCTACAACGCGTGTCAATTGCCCATAGTAAAAATGGGTGAAAGATTACTTCACTGTGGAGTACTCTCAGAAACATAATGTTGAGAAAAAGATGCAGGTCACAGAAAAAAATGTATAGTATGGTGTCATTTATAGAAAGTTTAAAAATGTGACCGGCTACTGTGGCTCACATCTGTAATCCCAGCTCTTTGAGAAACTGAGGAGGGAGGATTGTTTGAGCCCAGGAGTTCAAGACCGGCCTAGGCAACATAGTGAGACTCCATGTCTACAGAAAATATAAAAACTTAGCCAGATATGGTAGCGTATGCCTATAGTCCCAGTTACTCAGGAGGCTGACATGGGAGGATCACTTGAGCCCAGGAGTTGTAGGCTGCAGCGAGCTGTGATTGTGTCACTGCACTCCAGCCTAGGGGACAGAGTGAGACCCTGACTCAAAAAAAGAAAAAGAAAAAGAAAAACTAAACAATACATATATGTTTTGTGGATACCCCCATAGGTAGTAAAAGTATAAAAAAATGAATGGAAATAACCCTGAATTCAGGAGAATGGTTGTCTTTGGGGGAAAGGAGATAGGTATAATGAAGAAGGCTACAAAGAAAGTTTCTAAGATGATGGTCATGTCATTTCTTAGTCTGGGTTGGGGGGGTCCTGAGTGTTCATTTTATTATTCTTCTTTAAACCGAATATATATTTAAAATATTCCTATGTCTACATATTTTACAGTAAAAAAAAAGTAAATGTCATCTACCAACCTAAGGAAACTGACCAGTGATGAATACGGGTTGGAGAAATTGTTGTTTGCTCTTGAAGCAGACAGATTTCAGACTTTAGGATATCTCCAGGCTTGATAATAGCCCATGTTTTTTTTCTACCCAGTTTATATATGTGGCTGTATAGCCAGTGATTCTAACTTGATGTTCCATGTTGACCATGTAGGCTGCACTGCTATCACTTAGAAATCTCAGACCTGGGAAGTTAGTTTGGGAGTTGGGGGAATGGGTTCCAGGTAAAAACTTCATCTCCAGAAAGCCCATGGGAACAGCACTAATCTTGGTGGCCTGAGAGGACTGACCTAACACTATTTTTTATTTATTTTTTTGAGTCAGAGTCTCACTCTGTCACCCAGGCTGGAGTTTAGTAGCACACTCATGGCTTACCTCAGCCTCAACCTCCTCGGCTCAGGTAATCCTTCCTCCTAGCTTTGTGAATAGCTAGGACTATAGGCGCGTGCCACCATACTTGGCTACTTTTTTTTATTTGTTGTAGACACACAGTCTTGCTGTGTTGCCTAGGCTGGTCTCCAACTTCTGGGATCAAGCAATTCTCCTGCCTCAGTTTCCCAAAACTCTGGGATTAAAGGCATGAGCTACCACACCCGGCCACTATTTGGTGTTTGATTAGAGTGGAGACAGCTATGTGGTGTGTTCCGGGGTTCTGCCTGTTAATGTGCCACCCTGTGCCACATCCTTAGCTGATGTTTCTCGTAATAGTGGAGCATGCCTGTAATGTTGTGATGCCCCCAGGAGAGTGTGTGCTAGTTGGCACAGGGAGCGCTACCACACCCTTTGAGAGTCACCCAGTGTTTCATTTATTTTGCTGGAATGAGGACTGGCTTTGACAACCTTGCCTACGTCAGCTCTGCCTGTGAAGCTCTAACATGTGTCTAGTACTGTGCACACATCACACAAAGGGTACTAGGGGC